CAAACACTGGAGTATTATAAGGACTCAATGAGGGTTCAATGTGTTTTAACTCTAATTGTTGATCTACCAATTGCACCAGAGCGGCTAATTTTTCTTTGGTTAAAGGCCACTGATCCACCCAAATTGGGGTGTCAGTCAAGAGGTTTAACTTTATTAATTGAGACATCTTAATCCAAAATTAATTTTGCATTGAACTGACTCATCAAATCCCGACCCCACAGATTAGTATGAAGTGGAAGAATGACAGGTTTAATGTGGGCAGTTACTGATGTTTCTTCTGAGGTCACAGAAAGCCAGTGTTTGCTCACACGTGCGTGTTGGACTCCTCCCACTCCCCGAACCGACGGTGCGCTGTCGGTCTGCCACTCAGAGGGCCACTCCTCCTCTCTTATGACCGATACATCACCTCCGGTATCTAGAATACCAAAAAAGGAGCGTCCATTGACTTGAAAGGCCATAGAGGGGTGGAACTTTTGAATTTCTTGCTCAATGGCCAAAACTTGTGGTTGTTGGGGCACAGGGACGGCAGTTGCCACTACTGTTCCCTCAAAAACAGTCATGGGAGTGTTAGGGGTAAATGCCAAAGCGACTGATGTAAAGTCAGCTGGGTCTTTCAAAAATGGCATAGCCATTACTCCCTGCATAATAAAGTCACGGTGAGGAAACACTAACAGAGGGGTGTCACAATCAGGGGGAAAAGGGACAGCCGGCTGGATTGGCAAAAAATATGACAGCCCAAATAAACCTGTGGTTATTGTCTCAGAGGCCACCAGGACAAAATGATAAGGTTCAGCCTTTGAGGCGGGGCTAGCTGAATGCCCCAGCTCTAGTTTCCCGGTTCCTGGGAATCAGCGGGCATGGGGTTGGAGCGACACTGGTTTGCCCAGTGAAACCCCTTTTTACAGCGCGGGCAGACAGTTTTTGGTCTGGCTCCTACTCCCCTGCTTTTATTTGCACCCCCTCCTGGGGCCCGGCACTGATTTTTAAAATGACCAGGCTTCCCACAATTAAAACAGTTACCAGCTTTACCCTCAGTTTGCCCATTACTTCCTGCTTTTTGTAAGGCCATAGCCAAAGTTTCCATGTTAAATGCATTGGTCCCCACAATTCTACAGGCTTGAATATATTCTGCCAATCCTGCATCAGGTTTGCTCATTAAGGGCTGCAGGATTCGTTTGCAGTCCTCATTGGCATTTTCAAAGGCAAGTTTCTTCAACAATTCCTCGCAGGCTATATCATTTGTGATTTCCCTAGAAATGGCCTTTTGTAACTGATCCACAAATTCCCCATAAGACTGATTAGGCCCTTGAAAAATCTTTACAAAAGAGCCTTTTGTTCCCCTTTGTGGGTCATCTACTCTAGTTAAAGCAGCTTTAGCAGCTAGAGCTGAATGGGAATAGAACAAAGGGTTCATTGCTTGTTGATTCCCCAGGTAAGTGTAATTCCCACTTCCAGTTAACTGGTCTACAGTGGGTGCATTACGGCCAGGCCAAGCTGAAACGATCTTTTGACATTCCTTTTTCCATTCTGATTCCCAAACCACATATTGAGAAGATGTTAAAATCATATTGAATAGCCCTTTCCAATCTTCAGGCAACAAAAAAAAACTAATAGCCATGTGACCTATCAGACCCAAGGTATAATGGCTAGAAATCCCATAATTTGATGCAGCTTGCTTAATTTCCTTAATATTTTTTATAGGAATTGTTTCATATCTGCGATTGCCTGTGATGGGATCAATAAAAACAGGCGCACAAATTTGATATTCTTCAGGTTGCAGTTCCCCTTTTTTATAAGCTTCGGCCAGTGCCCTGGAGATGGCGCTGGCCGGGGAAGGTAGCACGTTGGGGTTTCTTTGTTCTTTTCCTCCTTCCTGTTTTGGCGCGGAAGGTTCAAAAGACACATCGGCTTGATAAACTGCCAAAGAGGACTTTTCTTCTTCACTCTGTCCCTTTTTTAACTCATTGGGCTTTTCAGAGTCATAAACTGCCAAGGAGGATTTTTCTTCTGCACTCTGTCCCTTTTTTAACTCATTGGGCTTTTCAGAGTCATAGGCAGGCGGGGAGTCTACAGGCTTTTCAGAGTTATAGGCAGGAGGGGGGTCTACCCTCCCCTTCTCTGTTTTCATGGCATCTTCATGGATTTGGAGACATTCAATTACAATTCGCCATGTAGACAAAATTTTTGCAGGGGCACGAGGGGATTCATGAAAATACTTTCCTAATTTAACCCACACAGACATTTTTAGGGATCCTCCTTCGGGATATGCAGGGCAATTTTGATATACATATTTTAAGAGGAGGATCAAATCCCTTTTAGTGGGAAGCGGCAAATTTTTCCCATTGTTTTTCAAAATAATTATTGATGACTTGGTCAATTCCCTAAGTTCTGAGAGGTGCGCAACCTGAGGCTTAGAGAATGTTGTCCCCATACTCACGGTAATGTTTTGGGAGGGTGCTTCGTCTAGCTCTGACGACCGGCCCTGAGTTGCAGTAAGCTCTTCCGCTGAGTGAGTAAGAGGAGACGTGCTCAGAAACTTGAATCACGTCGGGGTCACCATTTGTGGGTTTTCACGCGCCCAGCGGTCTCCCATGGGTGTTGAAGAACAGACACTTACACGTGGTTTCCTCGGGATGGGAGCCTCGAACAAAGACGAAGCATCCCTTTTATTGTGTTATCAGAAGGCGGGTTTATAGGCACCTGGTGACCACCTTACACCAACCACATTTGTTATGACACAGCATATTAGCATATTACACGTGCTAACTTTGTTTTGCACACGCTACTATACAGCTGTTGCACACGGCACTAACAAACACCAAAACAACATTCCCTTGCACCGCACGGCACAAACTTGTTTTTTCACTTTTGACTTCCGCATACCTTGGCCTACTGCAGCTGATGACTCAGCCTAACAGGCCAGATAACCCAATGACTCCAACACATGTTATGAATAGTTGAGGAAGAGTACTGACAGAAACCCAGGAGTTATTCTCATGTATCTTACTGCTTATCTTCAAGTTCCTTCTGCCAAAATACTTGAGTGATCATGTTAAATATTGTTTTCCATTATATGTCTCATTCTAATTCCTTTGACTGTTACTATCATCTGTCTTCCATAGCATTAATGGCTGAATACAGACTTATCAGGGAGAAAAGTTATTGAGCAAAATAATAAATCCCAGAAACAGGAAGATATGGTTAACTATAAAAGAACACAAAAGAAATTTGACTGAAAGTCATACGTAGAAGCATTTAGAAAAGAAATGCAATGGTGAATAAAAATTCTAACTCAGTTTTTTTATTGCAGTTGAATTAGTTTCAATTGAAATTTAAGTTTGATCTTGGTTTTGTTATAAGTTTTCTAGATCGGTGTGGTCTAGAATTACTTAAAAATTGATATTAAGGTAATCATTTGTACAAGCTAGGAAGTGGGCTTACGTATTATAGAGTCATTTTCAGTTTTTCTTTCCAGAGCTTTCCTACTAGCAATCATCATAAACAAATCATAAAATAAACAAATCAGTACTAGTAGAACTACACTCTGTAGGCAAAAGTCTACATGGGGAGCTCTGATGTATTTATATTTTTTTTCTACTTAAGACCTTCAGTTAAATTATTTGTGTGTATATAATTAACCACTTTGACATATTCCTGTTTTTGGGATTTGTTTTTCTGCTTTTCATTCCAAAGCAATCAGAAGGTAGCTTGCAGTGGTATATAATAATAGCACATTATTATAATAGGCTATTTAACAGGACAGTAAATCATAAAGTAGCAGATTAGTAGATAGAAACATCAAGAAAAATCATTAAAGGGTTTCATTAATTAAAAGCATAGATAATAAGATATATTTTGTATGCTATTATGTTAGTTTCCAAGAAAAAATAGAAGTCCAATATAGCTAAAGTAAAAATGTTGTCTTGATATAAAATAAATTTGCTAGACAATATAGGTCTGTCTCTGGAGTAGCAGTTCCTAGCTGGGAGCTATAAAAGTTTAATTATATGAACAATACATATTAATATGTTTCAAAGCTACCTTTCTTTGTGTATCCTACAGTTCTTTATTGTACTAGCAAGGTGATATTTATAATGAAACATTTTGCCTCAAAATGACATATTATTTATAATTTTCTCTGTATAAAAATTCTGTTAAAGCTTTTGAGTACTCAGGGATCTTTATTTATTTATTTATTTATTTATTTATTTATTTATTTATGAGACTTATATACCGCTTTAAGTGCAAGCACTCTCTAAGCGGTGTACACCAGTAAGCAATGTATATATATATTTACATTGCCCCCAACAATCTGGGTCCTCATTTTACCTACCCCGGAAGGATGGAAGGCTGAGTCAACCTTGAGCCGGTGAGATTTGAACCGCTGACCTGCTGAACACAGTCAGCTAAAGTGGCCTGCAGTACTGCACTCTAACTGCTGAATCTAATCTCCTGAATCCTGACAGAACTCTATGGAATAATCCTACACTTTTCTTCCAACAGTTATTTTAGTTTCTGTAGGACCTCTTCATAGAGTTAGTAAGTCATCTACAGGAAACACTTTTAAATTTTGTAATGTTACAGTGTCTTAGTATTTACTTATTGTAGTTAAATATCCTCTTAAGAATTAATTTCATTTGAAGAGGACAGAAAAGAACAATATGGTAATCTTAAGACAATGTTGCATCTTGCATTACTCTCATTTGTATTGTTAAAGAAATGACCCTTTTGTTTGATACGTGGATAAGCATATTCACTTTGTACGAATTGAAATCAAACTGTAAACATTTGTTTAGAATAAGTTTCTCAAAAACTAAATCAAAAGGAACAAAGACTGAAGATCAGCACTTTAAATCCCTGTATTAAATTTAATCCAATTTAACAAGTTTAAAAATAAAGCCATGTATGTTAACTTTCAAACAACGATACATGTACCTTAAGTTTTCCCACTAGATTTTCTACATTTAAGAATGAACGCAGGTTATCTTCTTTTCTTTCAGTGTGGTGCTCATCTTGGCCATATATTTGATGATGGGCCACATCCAACTGGAAAACGATATTGCATAAATTCAGCTTCATTAGCTTTTGAGCCTGCAGACAAGAATCATGCTGGAGAAGACAATACCAGTTCTACATCTGCACAACCAGATAAGACGGATCTGTAATGGGAATCTGTTGTTTAAGATTGTTTTCCTAGATGACATGGAAAGAATATTTCTAAATGGTTTTCTATCTTACATACTATTTTTTAAAAAACATACAAAGATACTTCTCAGTATATAGTTTTTTTCCTGATCAAAATGAGACATACTAATTCCTTTTTCTTATATAACTACACATAACTATTTCACAACTTCTATGCTTTGAAGCAGTCCCATAACAACATGTCTTTTGGCACTATGATATTGATTACGGTAAATGCCGGCGTATAAGATGACTTCCGCGAGCGCTGAAATCGGCGCCAAAGACGGGGGTTGTCTTATACGCCGAGTCGTCTTATACGCCGGAAATACTGGTAGTTTCCGGCGTATAAGACGACGTTCTAGGAATGCGGCCCGGCTATAAAGATGGGGGTCGTCTTATACGCCGGGTCGCCTATTACGCCGGCATATACGGTACTTGCATTTTTCTTATAATAGGTCTGAATTATATTCCTTCATATTTTTCATTCAGTACACAACCGTAGCAAGAATACAGTTTTCTAATGGTACTTAGGCAATTTTGTTTTGATTTACACATATACTCAACTAACTCTCTGTAATTATTGTACCATTCCATAAATGAGGCTGTATAATTTAATATAATCAAGTTTTATCTTGGATTTCTGCAGAAGTATACATCTATATAAATGGCAACAATACACCCTGCCTTCAGTTAGATAAATACTATTTAAAAATAAATAAATAAGATCATATTTATATTGGGACTGCCTAGAAAAGATAGCAGATTTATTCCTTTATGTAGCAGGTGGCTTTCCCTTGGAACAGCTTAAGAGGCCAGAGCAGTCACAATATACTTTTAAAAGCTGTGTATGAAGACTAGTAATCATAGATCAGTTGTTTCCTCATATTTGTAATGAGGATTTTAAAAATCCTCATTGTATTTTTATCCTCAAAGGCTCAAAAGAGGACTCATAGACTAGTTTACAAATGTGGGGGAGATTTTTTATTTTTTACTATTTTGTGATCTTATGTAAATATAAAACTCAGTATTGCCTTATCAATTAGTGTTGTCCTGGGAAAGTTAATACCTCATTAAATGGTACAGATCTTCCTGAAATTTCCTTTACAACGTTTAAGCGGCAGGGTGTAAAATAGATACATGGAAAGTCCTATTTTAAACATCAAATTGCTCTGCCTATATTGCCTTTTTATTACCACTTGGGAAATAATCACTTAGGCTGTATTCTCTTACTCCTTTTCAACTTATATGTTAAGATCTACTATCCTCAGTGCATAAGAATAAAGAGACAATACTTTTTCATAAACAATAAAAACCATAGCAACGAGTAGTCATACCCAGTGAAAGATAGTGGTCTATGGTAAAGTGTTAGTATGAAATGTCTGATCCTATTAAGAGTGAGCGGATTTGCCTTAAAGAGGAAATGCTGAGTATGAAATGTGGCCATTCCCAGCTGATCCATGGGATCTCTAAGTTGTTCTCTTTCTTTGGAAAGCCATTGGATTTGCCATGGAACTTATCCTGGGTCTCCCAAAGTTGGTGGGAACATGACACTGTCCTCACTATTGATTTAAAAAAAATTAAAAGGTCAGTACTAGGACTGGCAAAGAGACAACATTTTGTCTTTCAGCCGTGATAAACATAATTTGTGAATTTGTCTCAGATTTTAGTATGTGTATGACAGAAATAAATCTCTTGCAAGGATATGCCTACTTTTTACTTCATGTTACAAGGAAATTGGTATGATTGCTGTGAAAATTAACTGTCATGCTTGAGAATAACAGCATTTTATGAAATATAACATTATCATACTATTTAAGATAATTTTACCATAATTCATTATCTGTATCAAACAGATTACCTGTATCTGGCAAACAAAATAGTTAAAATTGATATCTATTAGCCTCATGCATCTTAACAGAAAAACAATTGAATTATAGATTGATATGGGACCTAGGAATACATAAGAATTTGTAGCATCATTCTTAGGCATGTGATTATCTTCTCATTTATTGGATAAATCTTTCTGCCATTTGTTCCTGTACTTCTATTAGAAGTTAGTTTTCTCCAGTCATATTTTCTGAAATGAAATCTCTGATTTGTAACATCAGTGAAAATATTGAGCATTAATTTTTGAGATAACTTGCAGTTAATGTTTTAACCTATTTCTCTGTTCTTGTTAAAGAAACATATTCTTCATACTCTAATAAGCAATAATGTAAGCTTTTCATAAGTTGATTTATATTTACAGTTTATGAAATGCAGTGAATTGAATCAATATTGCCACATATAGGTGTGCTATCAGAGTATAACTTCATTAATAAATGGAAGGCATGGATATTGATCATTTTGTATTAATAATATCTACTAGAAATAATGTGAGTGTGACACTTACAGTACTGCAAAGCTCAAACTATTACTTTGTTTATGGCTTTGATATAACTTGGATATTATTGAGCACAATTTATGACTGGGGAGTCCGTTGGTGTCTCCTAGATATTTTGTACAGTGTGACAGAATAATTACTGAATGCACATGTTTCAGTCTATATTATATAAGAGTTTATACAGATATTGAGAAAAAAAGAGAATGGTTATTTTAGTATATTTGGAACTTGCCATCAGAACTATTTTTTGCTTTTAAGACATTAGGTTTTATTCAGTGAAGATATCTTTTAATATGTTTGCTGAACACAGATATATAATATTTAATTTATAAATAAATATTTCCTATATTCTCTCTTTTCACTCATTATTTTTCTATCAAGGATGTTCTGTATCTTAGATTCCATGCGGGGGCACTCTGGTACTAAGCAGTCATTATAACGGATGGGGAACAGTGGCCCGTTTATGACTTGTAGACTTCAACTCCCAGAATTGAGTTGAAGTCCACAAGTCATAAAAGGGCCATCGTTCCCCACCCATGCATTATAAGGAAGTAAAGCAAATTGATAATAGAATATAATTCGCTGCACATGTCATGATCCCAGGAATATATTTCATGTTTTTAGTTGTAACTGAAGGGAGGAACAATTGAAAAAACTACTCTAATTTTATCTTAGAGAGGAAAAAATATAGAAAATTAAGTTACTTATTTGTCACTGAAATCAAAATGTGCGGGTTTTCACGCGCCCAGCGGGTCTCCCATGAGTGTAGAAGAACAGACACGAACACGTGGTTTCCTCGGGATGGGAGCCCCGAACAAAGCCGAAGCATCCCTTTTATTGCGTTATCAGAAGGCGGGTTTATATGCACCTCGTGACCACATCACACCAATCACTCTGTTGCAACACAGCATATTAGCATATTACACGTGCTACAGCTTTGTTTTGCACACATCCCTATACAGCTGTTACACCCGACACCAATAACGCACCAAACACATTCCTTTGCACCGCACGGCATTTCTTGGTATTCTCCCGAACCTCTTGATTTCTGACTTTCTTATACCTTGGCCTACTGCAGCTGATGACTCAGCCTAACAGGCCAGATAACGCAATAACTCCAACATCTCCTCCTTTTCTGTTTTATTTAAAATAAGGAGGGAGCATTTTATACAAAGTCATTCTCAGTGTCGTTTGGCAAGGTGAAGGTCGGTTTGATTAGCAGGGGTTGCTGAGCTGCAGTGATAGGTGTAGTCACTAAATTGATCTGTTGATGAGTGACAGTTCCTGAGGGAAAGTTTTTAAACATCATAAACAATGAGGGCAAACATTGAATACAACAACATATCAAAACTAAAATAACTACAATAGTTATAATAGCAGAAACCAATGATCGCAACCAGGTTCTGTCGGGTAGCCAAGACCATAGGGCATCCCAAATGTTTATTGCGCCAGATCCGTCGGATTGTAATGGATTATGACGAACCATGTCTTCCATATGCTCAGTGGTACCTGTGATATTGGCTTTATAATCAGAGATATAAACACAACAATGAGAATGGATTAAGGCACATACTCCTCCTTTCGAGGCAAGGATAATGTCTAAAGCATAACGATTTTGCAGAACAATCTCTCGTATTTCTGCCACTTCCTTGTTTAACAATTTGGTAGTCTGAATGGTAGCGTTGAACATGTGCCTAGTCCAATTATTTAATGCATAGATGTCTCTGTAATTCACGGCTACCCCCAGAGGTGGAATAAGAGATCGTACAATTTGCGTTCCTGTATTGCCGGGTCCTCCCAGGCCATTTTCAAGATCTCTTCGATTGCACAAACGGCCTGAAGGTGGCTGATCTGACACAAAAACTGAGGGAGCAAGAAAGCCCAACGTACAACGGCCGGACCACCGTGGAGGTATACGCTGATATGCCCGCCGGCCACAAAGCATCCAGACGTTACTTAATATATTTGTAGTCATGCTGGAGCTTTGCACAGTTTGGCGAACCATGGCTCTTACAAGATTGCAAAGGAAGAGTGTGGACATCGTGTCCGTGTTGCCGGGGTGACATCCTGTTGATACCGAGCATCCGGTTATTTGATAGGTACACATATATTCAAAAAAATCATCAAGGGATTCAAAGAGAGGGATTTTCTTAAAGCGATGCGGTCTAGTCATGTTGTTTGAAAGTTGAAATGTGACGTCACAATATGGGTATCTGCCTACTAAAACAGGGTTTTTAACAGTGTTCTTATATTCCCAACAAAACGCTGCCTTTTCCTGGATTCTGCTTCCTATTGTGTATACCGTATAATTCACCATAGCATTGGAAAGGGTCCCTCTAGACCAGGGAAATTGTTTCCAACCAGTTGTATTAAAAGGCACCGCATGCATAAAAAGTCCCCCCTCCTCCAAGGTTGGAATATGCATGCACATCCAACACTCAGTCTTGTTCAAAATACGAGAAATATTCTGCACACCTTTCACAAAAGAGTTGTGGGCCCAGGGTCCATGGTCATCCGACGTCTGGTTAGGATGGTGGAGATTGAACCAAAAGGACGAACACAGCGAGCTGGAGTCCATATGATTTTGCCATGATCATCTACCACAGCGTAGCCTCTCCCCCAGGTAATAAGCTCTGCAGGACCTTTCCAAGTGGGGTCTGGAAGCCATGGATAGTAAACTGGAGGTCTTGACGTAGGGGGAGGGACTGTTGAAAAATGATGAGAGGCAGCTGTTGATGATGGGTCGCCCGTCAGATTTAAAAAATTCAATGTAAAAAGGCACAAGTTAAGGATGTTTTGCACTGCTGGGAGGCCAGGGGCGATTTTCCCCTTTTCATTTAAATATCGATTGAGAGCTGTTTTTAATGTTTGATTTGCTCGTTCAACCAAGGCTTGACCTTGGCTATTATATGGAATGCCAAACTTATGAACAATGGACCATTTTGTACAAAATTCTGCAAAAGCAGAGCTAATATAAGCAGGCCCATTGTCTGTCTTTAGTTCTTTGAGGCGTCCCAACGATGCAAATGATCGAATACAGTGATTGATAACATGTTTAGTGGCCTCACCCCTCTGGGGGGAAGCCATAATGAAGCCAGAATATGTATCAATAGAAACATGAAGATATTTCCACGGGGCAAAAGGAGGATATTGAGTAACATCCATTTGCCAAATTTGACAGCTCTCCAAGCCACGAGGATTTACTCCAAGTGGTGTTGAGTGTGCTTGCTTGCTACAGGTTGGACATTGCTGAACGATGGCAGCAGCTTCAGCAGCTGAAAGAATAAATTGTTTGATTAATGCTTTCTTATTCTGATGGAAATAGGAATGACTTTCCCAGGGAGTTAAAAAGGTGAGTGGCATATTAAGAGGTGTTTGTGAGGCGGCAGCATCGGCAACATCATTGCCTTCTTGGAGTGGGCCTGGAAAAGGCTGATGGCTACGAATATGGGCAACAAAAAATGGGTGCTTCCGACCATTTATAAGATGTTGCAAGTCCAAAAATAACGTTAACAGATCCATAGAGACATTCGGTGCCAAATAGGAGTCAAAGATGGTTTTGACAATTTGGGTAACATATAAACTGTCCAGAATCAGATTAAAGGGTTGATCTTTAAAATGAAAAAATGCCATCGTGGCCGCCACTAGCTCAGAGCGCTGAGCTGACGTCTGTGGGGGGGTGATTTTCGTACGCCACTTCCCCTCCTCTTTCCAAGCACAGGCTCCGTGAGTCTTGCTGCCATCAGCAAACACCGTTATTGCTTCTTTTAAAGGAAAAGGAGCACAAGGAGATTGCCATTTAAATGGAACTGTTTTTAATAAAAAAAAACTTCTCCTGGCCAATCAGCAAGTGCTTGCTGCAAAGATTCATAGGTGGCCAACAAACTTTCCCAAGCCGTTAGCGAACAAGGGACATATAAAAAAGACGGTTCAACACCCCCTAAAGCCTTTGCCCTAAAGTGAGATTTTGTTATAAGCTGAGCAAAGAGCGTATGTTTCTGTGAAATGGTGTTCTTCGGGGTGTGAGATAAGTGGATCCATTCTACAATCATCATTTTTATATTAGACACGACCTGAGCCAAAGCTGCCATAGGAAGGTCAACGGTATTAAAAATTAACATAGAAAAAGGCATATCGGGCTGAACACGATTGACCCATACTTTTGACAATGCATGCTGAATGATGTCACAAGTTTTAAGTTGTTGTTGAGTTAACACAATCTTATCTCCTGGATTTTTTCCCTGCATAAGAGCAGAGAACAATGGAGCCAATTGAGAGGTGGTTAGTCCCATATAGGGACGAGCCCAATTAATTGATCCTAAATATTGTTGAAGTTGGACTAAGGTCGGGCATGGCGGAAGACACAACTTAGACAGCTGAGGCTCGGTGTGTGAGGCCAAAAGCTTGTGGCCCAAGTACAGAAAGGGGTGTTTAAGCTGAATTTTTTCAGGCGAAATAAAAAACCCATTTGTTTGAAAAATGGAGGTTAGAACAGGCAAGGTTGCTGAGACCGTACCTGAGAGCCCTGGAGCTGCCACTAAAATATCATCCATATAATGGTAAATTTTAAAATGAGGAAACTTGTTGCGATATGGTCTTAAAACCTGATTGACAACATATTGACACATTGTAGGACTGTTTAGCATCCCTTGAGGCAAGACAGTCCATTGATATCTGGCCATGGGCTTGGAGTTATTCATTTCGGGCACAGTAAAGGCAAATAAGTGTTTGTCCTCTGGGTGTAGTGGAATAGAGAAAAATGCATCTTTTAGATCTATAATCATCAGGTCATAGTCTTTTGGTATCAAATTAGGATTAGGTAAACCGCATTGGAGCGCCCCCATGGGGTGAATGATCTTATTGATGGCCCTTAGATCGTGCAAAAATCTCCATTTTCCAGATTTTTTCTTTATGACAAACACCGGAGTATTATAAGGACTCAATGAGGGTTCAATGCGTTTTAACTCTAATGTTGATCTACCAATTGCACCAAAGCGGTTAATTTTTCTTTGGTTAATGGCCACTGGTCCACCCAAACTGGGGTGTCAGTCAAGAGGTTTAACTTTATTAACTGAGGCATCTTAATCCAAAATTAATTTTGCATTGAACTGACTCATCAAGTCCCGACCCGACAGATTAATATGAAGCGGAAGAATGACAGGTTTAATGTGAGCAGTGACTGATGTTTCTTCCGAGGTCACGGGAAGCCAGTGTTTGCTCACGCGTGCGTGCTGGACTCCTCCCACTCCCCGAACCGACGGTGCGCTGTTGGTCTGCCACTCAGAGGGCCACTCCTCCTCTCTTATGACTGATACGTCAGCTCCGGTATCTAGAATACCAAAAAAGGAGCG